ATCCCTCCCCCTCCCTCTCTGTAAAAAATCAATAAAATATCTTTTTTTAAAAAGAGAGATCAATAGTAATAACAGTACCCGATCAGCTTTCTTTTTTAAAAAACATATATTTTATTGATTTTTTTACAGAGAAGAAGGGAGAGGGATAGAGAGTTAGAAACATCAATGAGAGAGAAACATCCATCAGCTGCCTCCTGCACACTCCCTACTGGGGATGTGCCCACAACCAAGGTACATGCCCTTGACCGGAATCGAACCTGGGACCCTTCAGTCCGCAGGCCGACGCTCTATCCACTGAGCCAAACCGGTTAGAGCCCGTTCAACTTTCTGAGTGTAGACTTTACATTTACCAGGCGTTTACTGAGTCTGTCTCCGTGCTGTGAACAGAACCACACACTGGCCCCTCCTGGCCATCCACTGATGTAGAGATGAGGAAACCGAAGCCTGGAGAGGGGCAGAGGCTTGCCAGGGTCGCCCCGTGGGTCCCTATCAGATCTTGGATTGGAGTCCATCCGAGCTCTCCCGTCCCATCCCAGCCTCCAGTTGCGGCCACCCCTCCCTTAATGACCCCAATTCTCTCTGACCCCCAGGCCCAACCAAGCGCAGTGCCCTGGGTCCTGGTTTGCTGTGGTGGGACCTCACGTCGCAGACAGCATCAGTGGCTCCCAAGGAAGAAGTGGCCACCCAGGGTGACAGCTTGGTGAAGGTCAGTCTCAGGGCGGGGCTCCCAAAATGGGGGAAGGGACAGTAAAGTAGCTGTGAAGTAGCTTGGGGTGCTCTGGGCGTGGCCATAATTCAAGGGAATGACGCGATGATCAGTCACTGTCGTTCTCAACTTCCTGTTACCACCAGTGGAGAGACTCCGTTGGGAGGTGATGTATCTTCAACACTTTTTATTATCCCCTTTAACAAAGACTAAGCAGAAGTTCATAATTTTCATTTAAAAAACAACAACAGTGTATCTGTTTTTACACTTACTTTTGATCTATGGCAGGTGAAACTGGTTTGCCTTTAGGGTATTGATAGAAAGTCTCTCCTGAAAATAAAATTACTTAATTCAAAAGTGACTCAGCACTGGCTGGTTTGGCTCAGTGGTTATAGTGTTGGTCTTGAAGTCAGAAAAGCCTCAGGTTCGATTCCCCATCAAGAGCACATACCTCGTACCTCAGTTGCAGCCTCAATTCCAAGCCTTGGTTAGGGTGTGTGCGAGAGGCAACCAATCGATGTGTCTCTCCTTCATAGATTTTTTTTTTCTCTCCCTCCTCCCTCCCCTCTCTCTAACAAAAAAATCAATGGAAAAAATATCATCGAATTATTTTAACAAAAAATAAAAACAGCCCAGCCGGCATGGCTCAGCAGTTGAGCAGTGACCTATGAACCAGGAGGTCACCGTTCGATTCCCAATTAGGGCATATGCCTGGGTTGTGGGCTCGATCCCTAGTGTGGGGCCTGCAGGAGGTAGCCAATCAATGATTCTCACTCATCATTGATGTTTCTGTCTCTCTCTCTCCCTCTCCCTTCCTCTCTGAAATCAATAAAAAATATATATATTTTTTAAAAAGTGAGTCAACATGGAGATAACTTACCTAAGGAAATGTGATGGGCTAGACCAGCGGTTCTCAACCTGTGGGTCGCGACCCCTTTGGGGGTCGAACGACCCTTTCACAGGGGTCGCCTAAGACCATCAGAAAACACATATATAATTACATATTGTTGTTGTGATTAATCACTATGCTTTGATTATGTTCAATTTGTAACAATGAAATTGGGGGTCACCACAACATGAGGAACTGTACTAAAGGGTCGCAGCCTTAGGAAGGTTGAGAACCACTGGGCTAGACTAGGCAGACTTTGCTCAAAGCCCCGTGGTTGCTACGTGAATGCCTTGAGTTTGGGAAACACCGTCCCTGAGGGGTCTGATTCATGCCCTGCTTTGGATTCCCTGTTTCATTTCCTCATTTATTAAGCACTCACTGTACCACACCCACTGTCTAGCAGGAGCAGATAAAAACTAAGCTGAGAGCCCTAACCGGTTTGGCTCAGTGGATAGAGCATCGGCTCGCGGACTCAAGGGTCCCGGGTTCGATTCCGGTCAAGGGCATGTACCTTGGTTGCGGGCACATCCCCAGTGGGGGGTGTGCAGGAGGCAGCTGGTCAATGTTTCTCTCTCACTGATGTTTCTAATTCTCTATCGCTCTCCCTTCCTCTCTGTAAAAAATCAATAAAATATATTTTTAAAAAAACTAAGCTGAGAAAAGAGTAGGGTCTTGGGCAGGGGGTGAGTGTTAGGAAGACAACAAAACAGGCTACTGTATGGGGGTGGCCTCCTGAAGAGGGGACATGGATAGAGCCCAGATGAGGAGGAAAGAAGCCAGCGGAGGAAGGGCAGTCTCCATGGAGGGCACAGCGAGTGTGAAGGCCCTGAGGCTGGAATAGGTTTGATGAGAGGGGGGTTGGGGAGGAATCTATCTGGCTGGAATGTTCTAAAGCTCCCTCCAGCTGCTGTGGGGAAATATTTATTTTCTTGAAGGGTAACAGGCAGAGAGTCAGAGAGAGAATGGAGGCAGGCCTGCATGCAAGCATTGATGGCCTGGACCAGGGGTCCTCAAACTACGGCCCGCGGGCCACATGCAAATACAAATATTGTATTTGTTCCCGTTTTGTTTTTTTACTTCAAAATAAGATATGTGCAGTGTGCATAGGAATTTGTTCATAGTTTTTTTTTAAAACTATAGTCCGGCCCTCCAACGGTCTGAGGGACAGTGAACTGGCCCCCTGTTTAAAAAGTTTGAGGACCCCTGGCCTGGACTGTAGATGATGTGGGCTTGGGGGAGACAAGTGGATGGAGCCTTTGGAGACCGAGGGAACTGGCTGAGGCGCTGGACAAGAGGACACTGTGCAACCCTGCCCAGGTTCCATCCTCCCAGGCCCTCGGCGTCCCCCTCTGGGGGATGAGCTAACACAGAAAAAGGAATCTCTGAAGGGGGTCTTTCTTTTCTCCTCTCCACAGGGGGCCGAGGAACTGCCTCCCAGTGCCAAGAGGCCTCCTGGCTTCCGGCTCACAAACGAGGACCAGCTGCTCTTCCTGGGGCAGAAGGAGGTGAATGGAGCTAGCTCTGGCTCCTGGAACCCTGGCAGAGGACGTGAGGGTGGCCGTGACCTGCGGGAGACAGACCTCTGAACCAGCCCAGGACTGGCCACCTGGAATGGAAACTCATGGGGCAGCCCCACCTCCAGTCAGCAGTTAGTCAGTCTTAGATGCTGCACCCCTGCCAGCACCCCCAAAATGAGGCCGTATTTTTCCATACCTACAATAAAAAGATGTTGGAATCCCCTCTGGAGAACATGGGAAACTTCCAGGTCCCACCTTAGGGTCGAAGAAAGACCCCAGCTCTTTCTGCGAGGTGCCTGAACCTTAGCAAGGATTGTGGAGGTCCTCAGGCCCAGACCCCCGGTACCTCATTTCGCAGGCAGGGGAGAGAGACCTGGAGAGGGGCAGGGAGGTGGCCAAGGCCACAGAACAAACCAGAGACACATTGAGAGGTGGACACCAGCCTTTCCTCCTTCGCCTCTTCCTGTTTTCCTCCCTTTGAAGGGTCAGATGGTACATGGCCTCTGACCTTGGGAGCAGGGTGGGAGGAGGAAGGAGAAATAACGTTCCAGCTTTCCTCCTGCGTCTGGGCACTTTCCCCATCTCATTCATTGAGAACCGCGAACCCACTTTGCAGAGGAAGAAACGGAAGCTCGGGGAGTTTGCCTGAGACCCCCCAGCAAGGCCAGGCAGGCAGGGACAGGCCTGGGTGCTGCATGATGCTCCATTGAGGACACGGGTGTCCAGGGTCTGATCGGCCAGGCGAGTGCACACCCCTGGCTCTTGGCTGGAGACGACATCCACACACATCAAATAAACGGACCCAGGCTTGATATCTCTGAAAAGTCATTCTGGCCTCGGCTCTCCAAGTCTGAGCACGGATCTCTGTGTCTCTTGCCCAAGCCTGCAAGTGAATAAACCTGAGTCTTTAAATCACCAGAGAGAGGTGACCACTCCCAGGTCAGGGTGCACGGTACTGCCCTCCCTGACCCACAGCTCGTCTCCTCGCCTGACTCCTTGAAGCACTCCCTCCTGGCTGCCCTGTGCACCCGGTTGGCCTCCTCAATGTCCCTGCACCAGCCGCTGGGGTCTCTGTGGTCACGAGCGCTGGCTGCACTTGCCTCTGCGCACACACCTGCCGTGGCTCCGTGGCCCCCACTCACCTGGCCGTCGAGGCCGCCAGGTCCAATAGAGCCCCCGCCCCATTCATGAGAGTTGGACACCAGCTTTTCCTCAGAAAGTGAGTTTATTTTAAAAATAAGTTCTTGGCAGGTGGACGTAATCTAAATTAAGGTAAGGGCATGCTGGATTCGGATGGACCCTGAGTACAATGACTGTGTCCTTATAAGAAGAGGAGGAGAGCCCTAGGCCTAGCCGGTTTGGCTCAGTGGATAGAGCATTGGCCTGTGGACTGAAGGGTCCCAAGTTAGACTCTGGTCAAGGGCACGTACCTTGGTTGCAGGCTCCAGCCCTGGGATGCAGGAAGCAATCAATCGATGTGTCTCTCTCACACTGGTGTTTCCCTCTGTCTCTCCCTCTGCCTTCCACTCATTCAAAACCAATGGGAAAAATATCCTCAAGTGAGGATTAAAAAAAAAAAAAAAGGAAGAAGAGGAAGAGAGACCCAGAGACATAAACACAAAGGCAGAAAGTGGAGGCAGAGATTGAAGTGATGCTGCCACAAGCCTCCGAACTCAGGGGCCGCCAGAAATGAGAGAGGCCAGGAGGACCCCTCCCCTCGAGCCTTCAGAGGGAGCATGGCGCTGCCCACCCCTTGATTTTGAACGCCTGGCCTCCAGAACTGTGAGAGAACAACACATTCTTATTGGTTTTAAGCTATGGCGGTGACAGCAAACTAACGCAGTGGTCCCCGCTTATCTACAGTTTCACTTTCTAAGGTCAACTGGGGTCTGAAAACTCCAGAAGTAAATAATCAATAAGGTTTTTAAAAATATTTTTATTGATTTTGAGAGAGAGAGAGAAACATCTATGTGAGAGCCGAATGTCGATCAGCTGCCTCCTGTATGCCCCCTACCAGGGATTGAGCCCGCAACCTGTGCATGTGCCCTGACCCAGAATCGAACCGGCAACCTTTCAGTGTATGGGCCAATGCCCAACCAACTGAGCTATGCAAGCCAGGGACACAATTCATGTTTTCAATTACACACAGTTCTGAGTCGCGTCATGAAATCTCTGCTGTCCTGCTTGGTCTGACCCTGGCCATCCAATTTGGATATATATTTTTTAAATTAATTAATTAACTAACTAATTGTGTTTTTTATTGGTGACACAGATTTCCCCCATTTCCTCCTCTTTGCCCCCCTTCACCCAGCGCCCCCCTCCCTCCCCAGGCCTCTGCCACATTATTGTCTGTGACCATGGACTATGCATATATGTCCAATTTGGGTATCTCTAAGTTTCTTTTCATGCCTCATTGCTTTGGCTGGAACTGCTAATACGACGTTGACAGAAATTTTTAAAAAGCAGACATTCTTGATTTTAGACCTCAACTCACTAGGTGCCAGTAGCACCCTCCCCCAGTGCGACAACCAAAAATGTCTCCAGACATTGCCCAGTGTCCTCTGAGGGCAAAACTGCCCCTGAGCGAGAACCCTGGTCTATGCTGACACAAGTACCTCCCCAGCTTTATAATAAGACCTCGGCATTGTCCAAGGCCAGGGACTGTGAGCCTTGGGAGAATGCCACCTGACCCCGGTCCAAGGACATGGGCTGGTGTGTACAGGGGACACACTGGCGTTCAGAACACCAAGGGGCTGGAGGTAACAAGCAAGAAAACATCCATAGGTCCATCGCAAGAGCCTGGAATATGGGACATGGGGCTTTTAGGGGACAGCACACCAGGCTGGCAATTAAAAAAAATAATTCACTGGGGTTGGAGGGCTGCAGAGGATTCCAAGGGACAAGGTGCAAAAGCAAGTTGCTCAACGATGCCCATAGTCAGGTTAAGGCCAGAATTTCTCAGCCTTGGCGCTATTGATATTTTGGGCTGAGTAATCCTCTATTGAGGGGGGTATCCTGTGGATTGTAGGGTGTTGAGCAGCATCCCTGGCCTCCACTCACCAGGTTCCAGTAGCACGCCCCCCTTCCCCAGCTATGACAACCAGAAATGCCTCCAGTATCACTGGGCAGTGTGTGTGTGTGTGTGTGTGTGTGTGTGTGTGTGTGTGTGCAGGGGGGCAGAGTCATCCCAGTTGAGCACCACTATTCTTTTTTATTGTTAATCCTCACCTGAGGATATTTTTCCATTGATTTTCAGAGAAAGTGGAAGAGAGAGGGAAAGACAGAGAGAAACATCGATGTGAGAGAAACACATCGGTCGGTTGTCTCCTGCACGTGCCCGTACCAGGGCCCGGCCTGGGGAGGAGCCTGCAACCGAGGTACATGCCCTTGATCGGAATTGAACCCAGGACCCTTCAGTCCGCAGGCCAACGCTCTATCCACTCACCCAAACCAGCTAGGGCAAGCATCACTATTCTACTAGTATGTGCAAAAAGAATAGATGACATATGTATTCCATTGTATTGTTTCATTTTTGAGGTGATTCATTTTAAAAATTTTTTAAAATATGTTTTTATTGATTTGAGAGAGAGAGAGAGAGAAATGGGGAGGGATAGAGAGCCCACAACCTGGGCATGTGCCCTGACTAGGAAAACTGATGACGACCTCTTGGTTCATGGGTTGATATTCAGAGAGGAAGGGAGAGGGAGAGAGAGAGAGAAACATCGATGATGAGAGAGAATCATTGATCGGCCACCTCCTGCACGCCCCCTACTCGGGATAGAGCCCACAACCCGGGCATGTGCCCTTGACCAGAATTCAACCCGGGACCCCTCAGTTCGCAGGCTGACTCTATCCACTGAGCCAAACCAGCTAGGGATAAAGTGATTCATTTTTATAATCTGAAGGATATTATGAAATGGTTGACATTCCTTGATCATATACTATGTGCCAAGAGGTTTACTCATATACTGGTAAAAGTGTCTATGTTTATTGAGCATCGACTCAGTAACAAGCACTTTTTGTAATTATTTTGGCTTATTTTTAATTAATATACATTTTTAGAGCAGTGTTAGGGGTACAGAAAGATTGAGCAGAAAGTTCAGAGAGCTCCCACAGATGCCTTTCTCCCCCGCTCCCAGTTTCCCCTATTATTAACATCTCTCATTAGTGTGGTACATGTGTTACAACTGATGAGTAAATATCGATGCATTATTATTAACTGAAGTCCACAGCTTACAGTAGAATTCACTGTGTTGTACATTCTGTGGATTTTGACAAGTGCATAATATCCACCGTTATGCTACCATACAGAATAGTTTTACTGCCTTAAAAATTCCCTATTACACCTATATTGGTCTTGCCTCCAACCTCTAAATCAGTTCTATCCATTTTGTTTGTTTTTTCTTTTTGATTTTCTATTGATGATAGTAACATCTGGTCTCGATTCTTTTTCTTATTACATTGGCCCACACTTGCATATTAAGCATCTAATATTAGCTGTGATTGTGGGCACCCCTGCCCCATTCTGGAATATGGTATCTGTTGTTTCAACATAGAATACAATGCAGACGGTTTCTTTTGAATCACAATCTTTGATCCGACTAATTCCTTCCTACTCCCCATTTACTAAGAACTTAAAAATCAGGAATGGTGCTGAAGGCTGTCTGATGTTTTCTAGCACCTTTCGTGTCTTCATGGAGTCAAGGAGGCTTTCTGCTGTTAAACGTTCCCGCCTCCTTGGAATAAAGCCCTGCATGCCCCTGGTATGCTGTCCTTTAAAGCAGAGCTGAGCTCAGATCGCATGTGCCCAGGCTCCTGACCCTTTCCTGGCAGGTCCTTACCCTGCAGCTGAGCTGACTCCCGCAGGGCATGGGGGAGGGTCTGCTCAGAACTTCTGTAGGAGCTCAACCAGGCGTCTTCAACTCCGCAGCTCCCAGAACTGCTCCTCCTCCAGGAGCCTGCTGGCCAACCCTGCACCCTGCGCAGCCTCCTTACCTTTTTTGTTGTTGTTAATCCTCACTGGAGGGTATTTTTTTCATTTATTTTTGTTGTTGTTAATCCTCACCCATTTTTTTCCATTGATTTTTAGAGAGTGTGTAAGGGAGGGGGAGAGTGGAAGAGAGAAACATCAGTGTGAGAGAGACAGATCGATTGGTTGCCTCCCGCATGTGTCCTGACCTGGGCCAGGGGATCGAGCCTGCAGCCGAGGTATGTGCCCTTGACTGGAATCAAACCCATGACCCTCCAGGCTGGCACTCTAACCACTGAGCTACGCCAGTGAGGGTCTCCTCTCCTTTTTTAAAAAAAGTTGATTTCAGAGAGAGGAAGGGAGAGGGAGAGATAGAAACGTCAATTATGAGAGAATCATTGGTTGGCTGCTTCCTGCAGTTCGAGCCCATAACCCGGGTATGTGCCCTGACCAGGAATGGAACCGTGACCTCGTGGTTCATAGGTTGACACTCACCCACTGAGCCACATGGGCTGGGCAGGCCTCCTTGCCTTATTTCACTGGTCCTCTACACCCCAACACACCCCAGAGCCCTGGCTTGTCCAGTGTCCCCTGCTGATTTTGGTATCCTCAGCTAAAGCCAAGACAGAGGCCACAAATTCTTTTTTTTTTTTTAATTTATTTATTTGAGAGAGAGAGTGAGCAAGCATTCATTGGTTGATTTTTCTATGTGCCCTGACAGGATGAAACCCACAACCTTGGTGTATCGAGATGACGCTCTAACCAAGTGACCTACCCGGCCAGGACCCAAAAGTTCTTGGTCCTTCTGGTCCTGGGGACAGTTGTCAAGGAGCCAGGTTGAGC